TAATTTTTTTTTTTATTATCCGCTAGGCTTTACTCAAGGTATGCGGTCTCGGCTTTTGGCCCTCGTGTTTCCTATCTTTGTGTGCCCCCCCCCTGACGTCTTGTTGTTGCTACCACAGACAAATTCCGTATTATGGTTCTCACACCTCTACGCAGACTTAACAGCTTTACAATAGGGGGGACCACCAGCAGAGCCAGCCTTTCGTGATTGGGTGGTATCTGTGCGTTCACAGCTTGAGCGGGGATGTCACAGCTGGGGCGCCGCGACTCGGAAGGCCAGGTCATTATTTACGCACGCGTTGTCAAACGCCGGGTGTCATATTTATATAGGTGTACCATTATATAAGGTGTTTTCCCACAGAGAGGGCGCCCATATAGGCGCAGGCTGGAAATAAGAAGCACAGCAGAGAATAATTAAAATATACGGTAAACAGTTGGGCTAGTCACACGCCACATGCATTTTATTCATGCAAAATCACTGCACATGTAACCGTTACAATCTTCACTCGAAGCCCTTTTGCCGCTCTATGATGCGAAAGTGCACCATGTGTTTGTCGGGTACCTCTGGCAACTCTCAAACGCGGCTGCCTGGTCACCAATAGCTAGCGACACCCCCCACGGCATGTTGCACCAATTCTTTCCCACAAAACCGATTAAAATTTTAATCCTTTCAGGCGTCTATTGCGGCAGTACATCTTCGTGTGTTGACAACATTAAGTGCACATTTTGCCAGCGTGTAATGACGAAATTTGCCACGAAAAATTCGGAGAAAACGGGCTCTTTTTGTACACGAGAAATAGTGCGGAGGCTTACTTGTTGGCACGCCTCACGAGTGAGCCTAGAGACCAGTGATCGCCCTCCGCTTGATACAAGGTAGCACGGTTATTATGGCAATAACTCAGCCACCATGGAGACCAGTTGGCATCCCCGGCTCCCTGGTGAGGCAGGTATGCAACGTCTATTCTGACAAATAACTCAAGCGCATGAGACAGTTGACAGTCCGCCTTCGCATGTGAAGCAGAGTAGCACCATACTTGGTATGACAAATATTGCAGCCACTGAGACAGTGCCATCCCTCTCCCTGTGAATCAGGTAGCAGAGTTATTTGACAATTAAACTCAGCCATGAGACAGTGCAATCCCCTCCCTGTGACAGGTAGCAGCTTATTATGACATAACTCAGGGCCATGAGACAGTGCATCCCCCTCCTGCTTGAACAGGTCTAGCGACGTTATTATGACAATAACTCAGACCATGAGAACAGTGCATGCCCCTCGCCTGTGAACAGGTAGGCACCTTTATATGACAATTAACTCAGCCATGAGAACAGTGCATACGCTCTCCGCTGTGAAACAGGTTAGCACATTATTATGACAATAACTCAGCCACATGAGACAGTGCATTCCCCTCCCTGTGAAGCAGGTAGCACGTTATTATGACAATAACTCAGCCAGTGAGACATGTGCATCCTCCCTCGTGAACAGGTAGGCACGTTATTGATGACAAATAACTTCAGCATGGAGATCAGGGCATCCCGCTGCCTGTGAACAGGTTAGCAACATTATTATGACAATAACTCAGCCATGAGACAGTCGCGCATCCCCTCCGCTGTGAAACAGGTAGGCACTTTGATAATGACAATACTCAGCCTGAAACAGCTGCATCCCCTCCCTGTGAACAGGTGCAACACTTAATTATTGACAATAGACTCAGCCATTGAGACGTGCAGTCGCCCCCCTGGATCGACAGGTAGCATCATTATTAATGACAATAACTCAGCCATGAGACAGTGCATCCTCCTCCCTGGTGACAGAGGTAGAGGCACGTATTGATGACAATTAACTCAGCATGAGACAGTGCTCCCCTCCTCGTGAACAAGTTAGCACATGTATTACTGGACATATCTCGGAGCCATTGAGACAGTGCAGTCCCCCTCCCTGTGAACAGGTTTAGCACAGTTATTTTACTGACAAATAACTCAGCCATGAGACAGCTGCATTCCCCCTCCCTGTGAACAGGTAGCACGTTATTATGACCCAATCACTCAGCCATGAGACAGCTGCATCCTCCTGTGGAGCATGGTAAGCACATTATTATTGGCAATAACCAGCATGACGACAGTGCATCCCCTCCGCTGTGAACAGGTTAGCACGATTATTATTGACAATAACTCAGCCATGAAGACAGTGCGTCCCCTCCTGTGAACAGTAGCCATTATTATGACAATAACTCAGCCATGGAGACAGCTGCATCTCCTCCCTCGGTGAACACGGTAGCTACGTATATATGACAATAACTCAGCCATTGAGACAGTGCATCCCCCTCCCTGTGAGCAGGGAGTGCACGTTTATTCTGGACAATAACTCAGCGCATGAGACAGCTGCTGCCCCTCCATTTTTTACGTGTCCGGTGCGCGTATTTCTGGAAGATATGATATAAGGGAGCAAATTGGGAGGAGGCGGGCTGTTTGCTGCTTGAATCCTCGGGAGTGATTGTCTGACTTTGCGCACTCACCGACGGTTTGCGGCTTAGTTCTTCGTGCCGCATGGGCGTGGCTAGCTTGCTGATGGAGTGAGGGGGTTGGGAGACTTGAGAAAGGCGGCAAGGAAGGATAGCTGACAGGGGTTATAGAAAGAAGATTAGAAAGGATGGCCGAGCGGATGGAAGAAGGTGTTTTGACCCTGCAGGTAAGGCGGCGCGCTTGCTCCTGATTTACAGAACGCAGTTCTAACCCCCGTTATAATATTTTATTACAAAAAATCTATTTGTGGCCGATACCCCCCCGTAAGGCCATATTAATACGCATAGTCATAACAATATATAACTCCGCTGCGTGAGATATTGGCATGCGCAACACACTATCGTCGCCAGTGGTGTAATGAACTGGTATATGCCATGCGCCACTCATACATGCAAGGGTCTTTTCTCTCTATTTCTTAAGAGAGATCTACTGATGAGAATTTATCATCATAAATCTACTGCTAGAATACCTGCTCTTCATATTAAATGCATATCTTTTGCAAAGATAATATTCCGTTTGAGATATTGCTTCATGCGCAATTCAGGTTTTACGCCGCTGAGCAACAGACTGAAGAAAGCTGCATCAATTATAGCTTGCTGAGGAGTGAGGGTGGAGAGACTGAGCGAAAGGGGGCTAGCGGAAATATAATCTAAGAGGGCTAGAAAAAGAATAGGAGGGCCGAGCGATGGACAAGGAGGCATTGGAAAAGTACGGGAGGGCGGCTGAGTTCGGTCGCTTATGTACCCTGCAGGCTAGGGTGTATCTCCTATTATAACACAGGTCTAACAATACTAATTTACTTACAGAAATCTATTGTGGGGATATCCCCCTCTAACCATTATCTTACAATGGCGTTATCCATAACAAAATATAATCCTCTTGTGAGATATTACGCCACTGCGTTTAACACCATTATCCGTGGCCAGATTGTGTATGACTTGGTATACTCGCAGCGCGGAGCAGGTGTTCTTCCTATTGTCTTACAGAGAGATCTTACTAATTGGAATTTTATCATGTAACATCTATGCTTAGGAATACCCCTCTTTTGTCAATTACGAATGATAATCTTTTGCCAAAATATTATCCCTGTTTGGGAGATCAATTGCGCATGCGCGAACACCATTTCAGGCGTGGCAGCGACAGATGATATAAAACTGCGCAGAATATAGCTCTGCTGGCTATAATCGCATTCGCCCAGACATTAGACATAGCTGGACAATCGCTTGGCGCGATGCTGCGAGCGAGTGAAGGATGTAGATCGATTTTACCATGGCACGTGGCTGTCAGCCTAGCCCGGCTCTGTTAGTCTGAAACGTATAAGAACCGGCGTAAAGAAATATATCTTGGGGCAGTCAACGGCGACCGACGGTCGCGGCGCTCATTTTTGCCCATACATTACATAGCTTGGTGAATCGTGAGCGCGTTGGGGCTGGCCGCGCCGCGTGCTCGTCTCCTCGCAGGCCTGCACGCTGCCAGCCCGATGCTGGAGCTCCGTCCTCCACGACGCTCGTTGTGGTGAAGTTTGATAAGATGTCAGTCTGGCCGCTGCGCGGGGGGGCTAGGCGATCCGCCCGGCCGCCCCCGCCGACGACGCGACCGCGGGCCGGGGCCGCGGCGATCATGATTTTATTATGCACACGCTGCTGTCAGCCTGCCCGGCTCCAGTTTTAACGTATAAGAACGGCCGAAGAATTTATCTGGCAGTCGACGGCGATCCCGACGTCAAAGCGCCTTTTTTTATGTACAATAGGCATACTTGGGAATCGTGGCGCGATGCTGCGAGCCAAGTGAAGCATATAGATTTTCTATGCACACGCGTGCTGTCGGCCGCCCTGCGACTAGTTTGAACCTCATGAGAACGGCGAAGAAAATTCTTTGGCAGTCAGCGGCGACTGACGTCGGACGCCTAGGCCTTTTCATGTACCATTAAAGAATTTGCTTGCGCATACGGTTCAACTTGCAATCTTGTGAAATGAACTATTGTTAATAGAGTTTAATTTCTGTACTACGTTGACTCGTTTTACAACAACGACAGACATAAATTGCCTACAACACCTTTTGACGTTTAGCAACAAAATGTTGCTATATTATCAGGCTATCTGATACGTAAACCCCCCATCCATTACATCTGGGTAGAAACGCTGACCTTCTTCGTTATCTGAACTGTTTTTCTGATTCTCATTGAAAAGTTAGGACAGCAGCCACCTCTCATCCGCCGAACTCAGCTAACGTGATAAGCTAAATCGATCTACCTGCCTTAAACACTTACGGCAAAGATGAAACAGTCGCGATGAATTGTCTCTAGTGTCCACGCGAGGGGGCAACAGCCGCCGGAAGGCGGCGCGGAACTGAGCTGCTTTTTGATGCATATATCAAGAAGTTCATGCTAGAATGCAGTACACCAGCAGGTAGCCGAAGCCTCGCGCCACGGCGAGCCGTATCGTATGTAGACCGTCGGCGACGCTCTACGGATCAGATGAGTTACTGGAAGCCCAGTGCAGACGAAGAAGGTGCCGACCGGTACGTATGCAAACGTCTTGGGCAAGTTTCATATGGCTCGTCACGAGTTGGCGTCGGAGATGGAGCTAGCGGTGCCGATCGCTCCTGCGAACCGCTGCTGCTCGGTTCCTGGTGGATCTGCTGCTGGTGGTGCTTGGCAATCATCATCATGTAACCGTAGATGGAGAAGATGGCGACGCCACACGTACCAACGACTATCGCCGAAAAGATGACAGATGTTCTACTCGTGACGGTGTCATAGATACATGGTTGATCCGGCTGCCAGCGGTTGCCAATGAGAGTTAGCACGCTTACGAGGAGGGCAAAGCCCCAAGCCAGACCTACCATTACCAAGACAACGCGCGGTGTGACGATCTGGTAGTAGTGTAGCGGTCGCGATATTGCAATATACCTGTCTACGTTGATGGCAATGAGAGTGGTCATTGATCCGATGGCCGAGAGCGTAGCCAAAGTAAAGTGTCCAAGGCATATGATCTTTGGTGGGAACTCGACTAGAATGACCGTTGGTGAGAAGAAGGCTCCTTGCACACCCATGAGGAAATCGGCGACAGCCAAGTTTGCGATCAGCTTGTGTGCCGGCTCCTGCAGGTGTGATGTCCGTGTCACAGCCAAGATGACGAGAAGATTAGCAAGTATGCTGAGAATGTTGACAGGAATCAGCAGGTAAGTGATCCACGCCTGAATTGCTGGGACTACGCCCTGTTCAACGTCCGACTCCATGCAGCCGACCAAGCTCCCATTCTCGGACACAGACCCGGAGATGTTGCACAGTGAACCATCAGCTGTCGCCATGATGCAGAAATGAATCTCACCACGCCAGCTCCGTATCACTAATGGCGTGCCATGACCCACACTGCGGCTTCATATTAAATTGATATCTCCACTCATTATATTTGCACCAGAGGCAGTCGATATACTTTTGCTTGCCCTACTCAAATAGACATATGCATTGGCGCAAACCATACAAAGCATGACATCTAGCATGCTTACGTTCTCGCAAACAGATAAAATAGAGCTAGGAACAGGTTACGCCTAGTTACGCTAGCAGAGGATCAGGAGGGAAGAGGCATGCCATAATATTAGCGTTGAAGAAACAATAACCACGGTAGACAATAATGGTTGACAATTCGTGGATATTGATTACATAATCAATGACAGACAGAAAAATGAATGGATGGATGGATGGATGGATGGATGGATGGATGGATGGATGGATGGATGGATAGATAAAATCGTGAGCGATGCAGCAGGGTTGATAAGTGAGCGCCGAAATCGCTGACGCGAGTTCCTTAGTACATAGTACGTATGATACATAGCCGTGCATATTAGTGCCTTCGTACACGTACGTAGCACCTGGCTGGTCCGTGTCTAGCGAGCGAGGGCGCGCCCGCGGTGTTTGCTTTGATGTGTGGCAGCATCATAGAAATAATATACTAGGTAGACTATAGGTGTCTCTATATATTTATGTGAGCAGCATTCATCGATACATGAGGGGCGGGTAGGTGCTGTAAGAAGAGGGTAACATTGTATAATATTAAAAAAAATAAAAACCCCACGGATGGAGAAAGTTGGCGGCCGGTTAACGGTTGAGGGGGGGCGAAATTTAGCAGCGAAACGGCAATTTCCCCAAAAATTTAGCGAGGCGGCCCGCCTCGCTTATCATGTACCAGGGACGCGCTGTATAATATTATAATATTAGCTCGTTTGAATAAATAAATATCGGTTAATGCAAACTTTCTTAATGTTCTAAATCTTTATACACTAATGTGACACGCCAGGATTTTAAGACCAAGATCTTCTATATTCATTTGACTATGTATATACATAATTATATATATCCGAATTGCACAGTAGCGTCACCTGACGGATAAATACGTTCGGTTTTCAATTTAGATATTGTGGTCGCAGCACCATGCCTGACTGCGGGGATCGCGGCCCGAAATGTACTTATAAACGCTTCGCATTACTAATATTATATGTACTTTACTCGCAATTAATTAGCGTTTCCCAGAAAGCTTGTTTCTCTGAACTCCGAGTTTAAATCCGCAACTCCAGAACTGCTATAATTTGCTTCTAGATTACGCTGAGCAATTTTAGTCGTCATTTGACAGGTTGCGGTCCGAATATTGGATATCATCAAGATATGTATCACTGAGCTGTATATAATAACATAAGGCAACATAATATGTATATAAAAATAATATATAATATTATATAATACCATATAATAAAATATAATAACATATTGTTATTTTAAACAGTTCAGTGATACATATTTGTACACGATATCAACGATCCCGAATTGCACCCTAGGGTCACCTTGGGGATAAATACGTTCGGTTCCTTATTATTTGCGTATTTAACGTAATCAGAAAAAACAGTTAGGCTACAGATATGCCCGCGTGCCGTCGGGCCACCCGCGACCAGTTTGAACGTATGAGAACGGCCGAAGAAAATTCTCTTGGCAGTCAAAGGTGACCTAGAGTCCCATAATATAAAGAAAGGCCCGGGACTCTACTGTGACCGACGCACTAGCGCCATCTTCCTGTACATTATTATAGGCATAGCGGGGAACGCAGCGCGTGATGCTGCGAGCAAAGGGAATATTATAGATCGGATTTTACCAAGCACACGTGCTGTCGGCCTGCCCGGCCCAACTTTGAACGTATAAGACGAGCCGAAGAAAATTATCTTGGCAGTCAAAGGTGACCGACGCGCGAGCGCTATCTTCCTGTACATTAATAGGCATTAGTAGCCATAGCGGGGAACACAGGGCGTCATGCTTTAATTTACCTATATTCATCTTACAATTGCTGATAATTTTACTGGTAGCTCGCACGCTAGAAGAGCCTCTGTGCCTGGGTATAGCGTCCGTGAAAAAGAGATGGCCGCGATAGTGGCGCTGAATGGATCGTTGTTGTATATGTAGTACCCGAGATGTCGGCGAGTATGTCGCCTACGCCTACTCCCTAACCCTAACCCTAACCCAAACCCTAACCCTCCCACCTACCATATCAGTATAGTTACCGTCGGTACATATTAGCTACTACCTATAGGACCGACCCTTCCGTGCAGATAGTGGCGATAGTAAGTAGAACGGCTCGGCCTGCTGCTCTGCGAGCCCTGCCGCAGTTCGCTCGCGCGAATCTTTTTCGGGGCGTCAGATGTTTCGCCGCACACGACTTTTCGGTGGTCAGATGTTTCGGCTCCCGAAAGTGCGACGCAGACTTGCCACCCCGTAAATCGCCGCCTCTAAAACGATCCTCGGGCGGTAGTGCTCGCTGCGTCCGTGGTATTCGCTGCGTTGGTAGTCACCTTTCAGCGAAAGATTTCTCTCGCCAAGCGCGGTGCGTTGCTGTAAGGACTGATGAGATGGTGTGAGGAGCGTACGGTTATCAGGGTACCTTCTCGGCGGGTATAAAGATGACGTGTAGAACTGGGAAATGAAGGCGGCAGCAAAAAGTGTGATCAAGAGTAAATATATGTTTATTTACAAAACAACGAAAGAAATGGGTAAGATACAACTGAACGCACTCGGTAATCAAACGAGTCAGCTTTCAGAGGTTTCTGAGCGTACTCACATCGTTTCGGCGCTGGTGTTATTTCACGGAATATTATCTCCGCACAAATGTGTTACTCGCTCAACGTTACGGTAACTCGCTAACTCGCGAAATACACATCAGTAGGTTTCCTGAATAACACCCTGCACTAAACCCTCTACTCTCAATCTGTCCACTCTCAACCAACTCAACTCCGCCTCGTCTTCTCAACTCCTCTCGTCTTCTCACTCCTCTCTCTCCAACTCAAAATGCTAATCGTCAGGCGCGCGGTGCCCCTCTATACTCTCCGCGGGCGCCTGCCCATGAGTCGCTCTCAGTAGCGCTAATCCGCGGCGCAGGCCGAACACGGTACGCTCTGTCGCGCACCGCACTACCTAACACGTTGATCCACCGATCGATCGCTTCACGTGCCGAGCCCCCGGATTGCTGTTCCGTTTACCAAGCGCGTGTTATTTCGGTGTTGCGGTGATTTCGGTGTTCCGGTGTTTCGGTACTAACCCCGGGGATATCCCGAATTCTACTTCCGGACCATCGCTATTTCCCCCGACAGCGCTACTCATTCACCCGCGCCGTCACAGTAATCATATCCACCAATGAAAATCAGGCGGGAGTGGTTCACGGGTGTGTGACTACAACGCGTGACACCAGGGGTGGCGTCGACGATTTTTTTTATATCAAACGAACCATTAAGTGCATGCGGGGGGAGATGCATGCAGTTCAGTGTTTTCAGTGTTTTCCATGGTTGCTGTTGGCGGCGTAATTGACGCGCACGGAACTTGTGTCCGTTAGATGGCCACATTCTATAAACACGTCAATATTGACGGGAGATGTAATTGTGAGTGGAATAGCGTTATAGCCAAACATAACCGTGAATGGCTGTTGCAAATTGCGATTGCAAATGTTGTATTGTACATTGTGCGTTGTATTTAACCAGCAGCGCTTCTAGCCAGGCGAGGCAGGAGGGTATGTACGCTGCTACTCTACGTTGCTACAATCTGCTATTTGCTACAATCTACGGTTGCTACAAGTCTACGCTGTCGACGCTACAGATCCTACACGGAGATCTTCAACTTTTTCCCAGTACAATAATTGGTGGAGGATGCAACGATCCGCATTCGCTACGCTAATCCCCCGGAACCAGAAGAAGAAGAACAAGAAGAAGATTCCGCATTCGCTATGCTAATCCCCCAGATGAAGAAGGAGAGACATATACCTCATCATAGCCTGCAGAACCCGGACGAGCAGGTCGCACCGAGCAAGGTCGAGGAGCCGATGAAGAAGAAATATACACGGCGACGATAGGGTAAGCTACATCGTAATTTCACTGTATACATAGCCACAAATTCTTTATAATTTATTAACAGTAAAATAGCTCGCGAATTTTCGTAGCTATAGCTAGCGTGGTATTCGAATTTCATTGTACGGCGTGACGGTGACTCAAAGCGTCGAATGGAGAGATGTACATTATTAAGCCTATGCGATGAGAAAGGCGAGACACCTAGCCGCTTCTAAAGTATGACCTCGAACGTGGCCAATAGGATAAGCGGAAATTAGTGTCCCTGCCAACAGAGCTGTTGCATACTACGGTACAAACTCACCATAGTGCGTAATAAAGATATTTAATTAAAAGTGACGAATGAGCTAAAACAGCTCTGCCCGGGAATTGGGTACGTCCGATTTCGTCACGCGTCGCGTCATTTTTGAGTCACGGCTGCTAGCCGATACCATTTGGTCGATACCATGACATATATAGCGAAACCACGAATTCAAATTTTTAATAAACAAAGAATTGGTTATGGATCTGGGTTTACGATATAGCTTATAGCCGATGATATCTGTATTTTATGTTTCGTCGTTTGTTTTTTGTTTAACAGATTTACTAACGTGCTGTACGCGGTAATAGGAATCCTTGTTTCGCCTTCCTTCCCTAGCCTTTCCATGCCGATTCGAGTTGAGTTACCGTTGCAGACTGTCGACCCTTTCTTGTGATACGAAAATGAGCGCTCATTTTTACTGGACAGCTGCAGCAATATCCCCTTTCTAAATCGTTACTCGATTCAAAACCAGACTTTAATTTCCATCCTTTCTCGGACCTCAAGGATATACCTTATCATCATGACACTGTTTGATGTTGCAGCCTTAGACTAACGTTTTTAACTTTTAATGATTTTTATGTATAACTGTATTTTCGTGGGGACACGAATTATTTCGAGAGGGAAGGAAGGAATGTTGTATTGTACATTGTGCGTTGTAATTAACCAGGAGCGCTTCTAGCCAGGCGAGGCAGTGGAACTAATTGGCCTGTGTTCTGGCCTGGTGGTTCGTTATTGTTTTGGTAATGACGCGGGATGTACGGCACTATATATCTGCGTAGCCTCGTCGCGTCTCCTAGCCCCGCCAAGGTCCGGTCGGTAATGACGAAAAACCAGTCGGATTGAAATGTCGCCGGGCGGTTTTCGGAATCATATAAATAGACGGACGAAAGATCAAAAGAGAGTTACCTACCCAGGAGACGTACGTGAGTCATTACCCAGATCATACGTGAGTTATGACCTGGTCATTCCTATCAAGATGTAGAGACGAAAACAGAGATGACGGGACCTAGGCAAGGTCAACTAGGTTGCCGTCTATATATATAAAGTTGTTCAGCCGAATTAGTCCGTACTCGCATAACTAGATAACTCCGCAGCCTAGAGGAAATCTAAAGATATTTTCAGAATTAGCACGTCTGGGAGGTGGTTCTGGCTGAAACAAAAATTTAAAAAAGTTAAAAAGTT